CCGCGCGCGCTCACGTTGCTGACGACCGCCCGGTGCGCGATGCCCGCCAGGATGTGGGCCCAGATGCCGCCGTCCTGCGCGCGCTCGGCCACCGGGCGCCGGAGCGGGCAGACGAACTTGCGCGCGTCCAGGCGGACCTCCACCCAGTTGCTGCGCGAAGAGCGGCCACGAAGATGGTGACGAAGCCGATCTGCAGCACTGTGCACGAGGGCGGTCACCGCCGGGCCCCCACACACACAGCGTGACCCCGGGCTGCCCGCTCCGGCTGGGGGGCAGAGCCGGCCGCCACCAGCGGCGGCCGCTGCCCTCCCACAAGCCTTTCACAGCCCCCTCCCCTCCGCCCCTCGGGGAGGCTCTGGCCGGCTCTGGCCACCCCTGCTGCTCCTGCGCTTGACCGTCTGATAGACTCACCTCCAAGACCCCTCCCCCAGGAAGCCTCCCCTGACTGCTCACACAGCGCTGCAGGTGTCTCTGGCCAAGCTTGGACCTCTCCGTGCTCCCTGAGGTCAGGGACTCTGGAACTGTCCTCCCCAGTGCTCAGACACCCTGTTGGGCCCGTGCAGCCATGGAAGCAGGAAGCTGCTTCTGATTTAGGGCTGGCTTCTCCATGCACCCCTCTCAGGGGAGCTTTAGGGAATGGCTTTTTTTTTTTTTTTTAAGTAAGCTCTACACCCAATGTGGGGCTCGAACTCATAACCCTGACATCAAGAGTTGCTGACTGAGCCAGCCAGGCGCCCAGGAATGGCTTCTTGAAAGGGGTTCCTGAGTCTTGTGTGAAATTATGGAGAGCTTGGGGTCCCATTCCTTGTCTGGTGGAGTAGGGACACACAAGGTCAACCCCACTCACATGTTCTCATGAACAAGCATGTCTCTCCCTCAAGAACTGTCCTACTCCCTTTTATCCATAGAATGATGGATAATAACAATCTATCACCTTTTTGCTTTGGCTACTGGAGAGCTCAACGTGTTTGGTTCAGATCAGGAGTGTGCATGATCGCTTCCCCTCAGTTATCTCTGAGTAAGAGCCTGGACTTGCAGAGACCAGTACCCGTAATAGACACAGACCCTGCCCTCCAAAAGTGCTTCACCCTGCGTGGGGAATGAGACACAGGCATGGGTACCACGTGACTAGGGCACGTGGACCCCAGCAAAGAGCGTGGGCATCCAGAAGATCCCTGGGGAAAATCACCTCCCAGGTATAGCTGCATCTCGTGCAGGCCTTTGTCCCCACCCCCAGGGCCCGTGCACTCTGCTTCTCCTCTCACTCCCGCCACATGGCTCTGGCTCATGCTTGCCAGCACCCCATCCAAGGCCCCCAGGCCCGCTTCTGAGCCCCTGTGCCCGCAGCGCTGCCCCTTCCCATCCTTGGCCATCGTCTCTCAAGCACTCCTCCCCCAACCCCCACAATCTCCTTTCCGGAATCTCCGTCCCCACAGGTAGATGTACACACGTGCCTGTCCCTGCCCACGGTGCTGGCCTAGGCCGTGGTCACTAACATGGCTCCTACCCATTTCCAGGTGCTCTTCGAACAGGCCCTCACAGGGCAGAAGCTCGTAGTTGGCCTCCCAGGGCCCCTGGCCAGCTTCCTCCGAAGGTCCCGCCTTCCTCTTCTTGGAGCGCAGCCGAAACTTCTGCCACCAGCCCTGTAGCTTCCTGGAGGTGGAAACACCCGGGAAAATGGGCCTTGTTCTTCCAGACTGGGCCCTGTGTGCTCCACAGTTCGGGGGCGGGGGTGGTCTGGGCCATAGGGAGGGCAGGGGCGAAGCCTCTGCCCGCAGACTAGCTGAGAGCATCTACATCTCAGGGGTGGGGGGCATCCCCTCCCCCGCTCCCCTGCAGCGTCCTCTGGAAAGTCAGTGTTGCTCATGGAAGCTTCTGGGGAGAATGGGTTCGTCCTGGGAAGCGCTAAGCAGGTGCCAAGAGCTATGTCAAATGAGGGCAGTTGCTGTGCCAGGGGCAGGCACGTGTGTGTCGCTCCACCCTATGTGGCGTGGGGGGGGCATATTGCTTTGCCACACTGTCGCTTGTCCAGGCCCTGTCCCCGCCAGGCCCCGAGCTACGCCCTGCCCTTGTAATCCTGAGTTCCGCTTCACGTCGCCAACTGGGCAGAGAAGCAAGGCCGCACCCAGAGCAGGGCGTGCAGTGGTCAAGGTCCCACAGCTATGTTTCATGGTGCCCCAGGAGAGCCGAGTTGGGAGCTGCTAGCAGGGGAAGATCAGGTGTGCAGGGGGGTGGGACGCTGTCCAGGTTGGCTCCAGCCTGGTAGGGGGCCCAGTTGCCTTAAGGTGGGCCACAGTGGTACCAGGGGCGGTGGCCCTGGGGAGATGGAAGGCACCTGAAGCCTGGGGCCTCCCTTGCTCCTCCCTGGTGCTGCCCTTGAGGCTGGGGATGCTGAAGAACGCCCTGGCCCAGCCCGAGTGGGCTGCAGACGGGATGGGCCAGCATGGGTGGGGGCGGGCCCGGGAAACCAGGCCTCCTCCCCACCCCAGAGCTGGCCCCAGGGCAAGAGACCTTAGTCAAGCCCAAGCAGCAACCCCAGGGGGTGGGGTGTCACAGAGCTCCTGGGGCAGATGGCCGGGGCAGACCCTCCCGCTCCCCTGCAGCTGAGGCCTTGAGGTCCAGGAGGGCCTGGACCCACCTTCCCTCCACCTCTGCGTCCAGGCTGGGGCTGGGCTGGAGGCTGCTGCCCCCCACACTCCTAGGTCCCATGGCCCCCAGTTGCTGCCCAGGCAGGGTGGGGTTGACTCACGGGACGAGGATCTCCTGCACATTGTTGATGATGTGTTTGCCCACCATGATGAGCAGGAGCTCCTGCGCCAGCTCAACGAGGTGGTCTCCAACTGCACACCACAACAGCAGGGTTTCAGGTCAGCTCGGGGAAAGACTGGCTGCATACCCAGCCGTCCTTCTTTACGCCTCAGAGGTGGCCTGCCATGCTGCCACCTCCCTTTCAGACATCTATGGCACACTGAGGACTGCAGTGACCTTCCCTCTCTCCCTTGACCTCACCCAAGCCCCCACAGACTGTGCAGAGGGATGATGGGGGTGCTGCCATATGGCACCCCAGATTTCTTTTGGGGATCTTTGGGGATCCACACAGGGTTATGTGGGGCTGACCCTCATAACCCTCATGACTCCAAGGAGGACTCAGGCCCCACTAATTGGCCTGAGTTAAGTGACAGCTGGGCTGGGACTTTTAAGGGGGCTCCTGAGACAGGATGCCTTGTACAGGGGTACTGAGCCAGGGCGTGTTGGGCCAACTGCAGGCATCTTCCCCACCAGGTAAGGAGAACCTGCCTGAGAGCACAGCCTGTGCTGGGGAAAGCCATGCAATCGTTTAAACACCTGGATCCAGCCATACCTGAGCCCACAGGGCCCTGAATGTTTTCAGTACCAGGGCCAGTGACATTCCCTTTTTTGCTTAAGCCAGTTTGAGTTAGCAGCTTTTTCCACTGGTCACTGAATGCTGCTTAACTGATACAATATGTCACGCACGGCCGTGCCCCTGAGTTGGAGTCCCAGCGGCCCTGTCCCTGAGAAGCCCCTCCCATCTCATGTGAGGCTGGAGAGTGCCCCTTCGAGGTGGACCCTTTGTAGTCAGCAGTTGGGTTGGGTCACAGGCCAGACCTGTGGGAAGGAAGGAGACCTTCTCCTCAGAAAGGAGAAGAGGTGATGAGCCCAGCAGGGGCTGGTAGCGCCCCACCCATGTCCCCTGACCCAGCGCAGTGGCCTTTGGGGACTGTTCCAGGCACATGTGTCACGCTGCCCGTGGGCTCAGGTGTGCTTGACCTTCCCCTGCTGAGGAACCAGATGCACAAGGACCATTTGGAGGGTTTTTCTACAACGTCCCAGAGGGTCCAGGGCAGAGTCACGCCCAGGGGCTCCTGGCAGTGACCCCCTCGGGCTCAAGTACTCACAGGCACACCCCCTTCTGCCTGCTCCCCGCCCCTTGCATGCTTCCTGGGGTGATGCCCAGAACAATTACTTGCACCCAAGTCTTTATCTTGGGGTCTGCTTGGGGGACCCACACGACAGCGATCCTGCATCCTGCAAGTTGGTTTAACTTCTACTTTGTTAAAAACAGGTTCATGCTTGGCTCTCAGCAGCTTGTGCTCTCGGGGCCGGGGCCAGCCGTGGGGAGAAGCCAGGCTGCCCTGGCCACTGGCACCCAGCCCATGAGGGTCGCCTGTCTCTGCACTCCCCCTCCCTCATGGCGGCTCAGGTCCATCACCAGGGCAGGAACCTGGCTCAGGTGTGCATCAGGCCCCGTGGAAACGGGGGCACAGGTAGGACACGTGGGCCTAGGAATGGTGAGTGGTGCGGGGGTCCTGCGGGGCTCCGGTGACTCAGGAGGCACGCCTCGGGGTCTCCACCTCCACTGGTGGGGGCTGGCCTCCCCACACATTCACCTCCTCGTTGCGGACCCCAAACAAGGTGTGATAGTTGCCCGGGTATCCCACAAACCTGGAGGAGAATTGGGATCCCGAACCCAGGAGTGAGGAGGGACTGCTGCCCTTCCACTTACTGGCCACCCACCTGACTGGAGGAAGCGCGAGCTGGACCTTGAAGCCTGGTTTGCCGGGTGAACCCACCCAGGGCTCTTGTGCCAACCGCCCCCCTTCCCCGGGCGTCTGGATGGCATCCCAGCACCCACACGGGGGAACACGGGGAAAGCGTGGCCAGAGGGAGCAGCGCTGACCTGCCCTTGAAGAAGGCGATACAGATGGGCGAGGAGTAGAAGTTGACAAACTGGAAGATGAACACCTTGAGGGTGAAGGCATGCTCAAACTTGGTCTGGGTGCGGTGCATTTCTGTGGCACAGGGGGCCTCAGTCCCCCTACGTGAGGCTGCCTCACCCAGCCGGGGAGGGTCTTGGGACAGAAGAGAGGCTGGGTGCGGGGCAGTGGAGGTGCTGAGGTGGGGACAAACAGGGTGAGCTGGAGGGGACCAACAGGGCCCGCTTTTGCAGGAACACCCTGGGCCACTCCTCCAGGACCCTGCCCCTGCTGTCCCCACACCCGGAGCCTCTGCCTGGGACACCTGCTCCCCGGAGGGCCACCCTGCCCTCGCTTTCTCTGCAGCACTCCGTCCGCCCCCCCTCCCCAGGCACTGAGCTCTCTGTCCCTCTCTCAGACCAGGCTGGTAGCAGACAGGGATCTGTGGAATGGACAGGTGGGTTCATTAGCACTTGTCTTAGGAAATGCAGGGCAGGGAATGGAGGGGGAGAGGATGGTAGAAAGGGAACGAGAGCAGGAAGAGCAGAGGGATGGTGGGTTGTGGGCAAGTCCCCCGCCCTGGAGGGACAGCTCAGCTGTGAGGGTCTCCTGCTCTCCCCCTGCTGAGGCCCAGCTCATGGCTATGTAAATTGCCCCAGGGGAGGGTCTGACACGCCCTACCTGTGCCTCACTCAGACATAAGGACCCTGCAGATGGGAGAGAAAGTCGTGTTCTGGCTGCCAGGGCTGGGCTGGTCCCAGGGTCAGTGCCCAGCGGCCTGGGCCACTCACCCCATCTTGTCAGGATGTGAGCCAGGGCCACGTGGATCTTGGAGAGGATGAGGATGAAGACCAGGTTCACCAGCGACCCTGTGAAGCTGGCGATGCGTGAGGCCTGATGGGAGTTGGTGGGTCCAGAGTGGAGTGGGGGATGGGTGGTCCAGAGCCTTCCACCCACCAGCTGGGCAGGTGGAGGCTTACCCAGGTTGCGAGGAGGGTGTTGTCCGACCTGGACGTGAGGGTGGCCATGATGGCCCGGTACAGGATGATGGACACAAGGCACATGACGACCGCGGCCGCCTGTGGGGCAGCCAGATGCTTGAGCCCCATGCAGAGCCCTGATATTGCCACACCCTCTAAACCAGGTTGTGTTCGAGGTGGGGGAGGGCGGGGAGGAAGGGCATTCAGAATGGAGGATGGGCATCATCTGGGTGTCAAGGGGCCACTGCACATTGTTCTTGGCCCTAGATGCTGGAGAACCATCCCTCCTACCCCCACCCTGCCCCCTGACCAACCAAACACTGGGAATTGCTAACGTCTTGGAGGGGGAGGGAGGTTGGTCCCGTCAGGAAGCCCTTTGGCTGGAAGGCGAGGCAGGGTGTGGTGGAGCCCTGTGCTGGGGGAAGGATGCCCCAGGCCTGCCTCCACGGGGAAACCTTCCCAGAGCCCCCTGCCTGGCCCACACCCACCTCTTGCAGCCTGGACCCCCTAGTTTAACCCCAGGCTTGGTCCCCTCTCTGGAGCCCAGGCACCCAGGGGCCTTTCTGGGGGCTGTGAGAGTCTTGTGGGTCACGGAGGAGGCATCAGGCTCCCGGCCTCCAGGGGAGAAGGGGTGACAAAATGTGCCCCACATGGTCCGGAGGATGAAGGCTTGACAGGGAGGGGAGGCCAGGGCCGCGGGTGTCCCTCACCATCATCACGACCACCATGGAGCCCGCCAGCACTTGGCGCAAGCGGCCCCTCTCTGGGAAGTAGGGCTCGTCCTCACCAGTGATGGGGTTCAGGGCTGTCACGGGGGCCGAGGCGGCAAACTGGGGCTGAGGCCTCTCCTGGAAGGGAGCCGGTGTTCAGCAGCGGCCCACAGGTGGGGGGGGAGAGCGACCCTGCCGGGGGACCCACCTCCATGACCTCGTAGCTGGAGCAGCTCCACCCGTAGGCCTGCGCTTCCAGAACTCCAGGAGCAGCACGGCCTGCAGAGCCATGAACATGCGGAAGAAGACGGTGCCTCCGGGGTCCAAGAGCCGGCCAGTCCGCGGCGGGGGCGGGGCGGGGTGTCCGGCTTGCTCGGGACTTGGGGCCCCTTCAGTCCCAGGGAGTTTTCCCCTAGGGAATGGCAATGCCTATCCTCAGCCTGTGCGGCACGGTGCTCAGAAGCAGGTGGCTGGTTCCCGGGTGCCTGGGGCCACAGATGGGGAGGGATGCTGCCCCTGGGGGTCCGCTGCCCCTGGGGGTCCCGCATCACCGCGCCTGACTGAGATGATTTGGGGGATGAGACGCGGGACTGTCAGACCTGGTGAGATTTTTGGACTCAGGGTTCATGCTGTAACGGGTTGAGATTTTGGGGGATATTGGGTGGGGGTGAATGTATTTGGCATATGGGATGGACATGAAATTTTGGGGCCCAGAGTGTGGATTGTAGTGGATTGAATTTTGGGCCCCAAAGGAGATCTCCACCTGGAATCACAGAATGATTTGGAGTAAAGGCCTTTGCATCTGTAGCTAAGGTAAGGACCTCCCGACGAGAGCAGCCTGGACAGGGGGCCCTAAGCCCGAAGACAGATCCTTGACAAGCAGGGGAAACAAAGCTGCACATGGGGAAAGGCCAGGGAAGGTGGGGGCAGAGGCTGGAGGGACACAAGCCAGCCAACACCAAAGACTCCCGCGGCTCCCGCACACTAGGAGAGGGGCACGGAACAGCTTCTCCAGAAGCCCCACCCGGCAGCACCTCGATCCTGGACTTGAGGCCTCCAGGACTATGAGAAAACAGGGTGCTGTTGTTTTTGTTTGTTTGTTTGTTTTAAAGATTTTATTTATTTATTTGACAGAGAGAGAGATAGCAAGAGCAGGAACACAAGCAGGGGGAGTGGGAGAGGGAGGAGAAGCAGGCTTCCCGCGGAGCAAGGAGCCCAATGCGGGGCTCGATCCCAGGACCCTGGGATCGTGACCTGAGCCGAAGGCAGACGCTTAACGACTGAGCCACCCAGGCGCCCGGGTGCTGTTGTTTTAAGCCCCTCGGGTATGATCACTGGTGACAGCAGCCCTAGGAAGCTGGGTCAGATGGGGTCCCAGAAGTGTGTCAGAGTGTGTCTGGTCTGTGGGCCCATCCTGGGCACCTGGGCTCCAGGCCCAGTGTGTGGGGGATGCAGGCAAGGCCACGAGGCCACTGTTCCTATGGAAAAGCTGACGTGCCCAGGCAGTGTGCGGGGCTCTGGGACTCCAAGGAGCCTCCTGGCTCCTGCTCAGTCTGTGCCCTGAGAGTTTCGGGGCTTGCCTGCCCTGGCAGGCCTTCCCGTTGACCTTGGCTGGTTATACATAACAACCAGAAGAAGAGAGCTAAACGTAGGGGCACCGATCCAGGCGGGAACTGTGCCACAGAGGTTAGATAACTCACGGGGGCAGGAGGGAGTCTGCCTTCAGTGGTGACAAGGCTGGGGTTCTAGACGGGGCAGGACCAGAAGCCAGGGGAGCTGCCTTCCTCACCTCACCCACTTGGCTCCATACCTGGACCAGGGTGCAGGCGCTGGAGAGCGGCCAGAAGGGGCAGTCCAGGCAGAGCGGGCACATCTCAAAGTTGTCCTCGCTATTGGACAACTTCTTCCTTCTGGGCACAAGGGCGCATTGCAGGAGTCGGGGGGGGCAGGCCCCCCACCAGTCCCACCCCTCGCCCTCCCTCGCCCCACCATGGCCTTTGACAGGCTCAGCATTTCTTTAAAAAGGAGTTTTAGAATACAAGCAATGATAATTTTTGAGGTAACTTTTTGAAGTTTTAGCTCTATAATGAAGTAAAAACCAAGCCTATTATAAGAAACGCTTATACTATTATAAGAAGCAAGGATGAGTACCAATAAAATTAGCCCAGGAGCCTACCTGCCCACTGTGTCAGCTTTGGGAGCACACCTGTCCACCTGTGTGAGCCTGGGAGCCTACCTGTCCACCTGCGTCAGCTTTGGGGGCACACCTGTCCACCTGTGTGAGCCTGGGAGCCT